TACTCCGTTTATATACTTACTATTTTTGATTGCTTTCTCAAATCTAACAGAAAACATATTTTTAACATCTTTGGAATTCATATTAACATAAAACAAACTATAAGGTGCGTCATCTACTGCTTTATGATGCATATTTAACAGTTGCTCTTTATCAACGATGGCGGAGTTTTCCTCAATGAATGACATTAACTCTGATACATTCTTCAATTTGAAGATATACAATGAACTTGAATTCAGCCTAATGATTGGTGCTAAGACACGGATTTTTTTGAACGCTTAAACAAAAACTAATGGCATCGTGCCTACCTCTCGTTGCCAGTCCGTGTAATAGCTTACTGTATCTAACAAAATTAGGGTCGTCTGCAAAATCATCAACAATGATTAAAATTGAATGAAGTTTCTTGTTCTTTCATATCGTGAATCATGTTTTGTGTGCTAGTGATTTCTTCCAGTTCTTGGGGTTGGGAGGTGTCATAATATAACTTTTCTTTTTCGTCATCAACCTTCATATTATCTTTGGTATTTCTTGACTTCAACAAAGGTAGGGTCATTATGGACGGACGGGCTAAAAATGAATATACGAGCGAAGCAGTCCCTATAAACATTTAACATGAGTTTTGGATTAAAACTGTTTTGCCACCCGTTGATGAAGCAACAACGATTGAGCGAAAAGGTAGTTTTGGCACATGCTCGTATTTAGATTGCTTGAACTCGCAACCAGTTATGTTTATTGGTTTTACTATTGGAACTTCATGCGTAATAAAGTATTTTTATATAGACATATAAAAACTTTACCTATATAATAATGTCAAGAGAATATTTTAATTTATGTGATGTAGGGGATATTCAAAGTTTATTTAATTTTTGGTGATGTCATAATACATTGCACTAACGAAATGTATTATGATACAATGTTAGATTGTTTATCGTTAATTACAAGAGAAAATCTTGTACTGCCTAAACCAACATCTGAAAGTGATGATAAACTGATTTCAGAAAGTTAATAAGTTTTATGAAAGATTATCCTAATAGATATACCAACGAAATGTTAAATGCTGTCGAAGAAGTTACTAATAATAGCATTAGATACATTAATGTATCAACCTCAATGACAGTTAAAAACAATACATGGTTTAAATACATAATTATATATGTTTATTAAATGGAACACCTCTTTATGACATGCTGGTAGTGAATGTCATAAAATGGAGCAGGCTTTCCATTGCTTCAATCGAAAAGCATTGAAGCTAATTAGTTTGAGCCCCGCTTGTGTGCGCAGTGAAGAAACCCCATTGCTGAGCCCCGAATATTCTAACATGCGTGAAATAATAAGAGTAATTAAAAACAATTCGTCTTATTATATGTATGACTATTGTCCATTGCAGTTGTAGTAAGACTGATGATGACAAATATGTATTTAATCATCTAAAATCAAAACATCATCAGAAAATTCTGGAATATAGATGGAATAAAGACGATAGAATGAAAAACTTTGTAAGAAAAGAATGAAAGAATTAGAAAATAATTTATGTTATTGCTTATATGAACAGAAGTTATTCAGATTATATTAATTTAGTAGATGAAGTAGAGAATATAGAACAAGTAATATTAACTGACAATAAAATTAAAAATTTTGTTATTATTCATTAGAATTAATTAAGTTAGGAATGCAATATAACAAATTAGAAATGTAAATATTAATATCAGTGAGAAGAAAGAAAAACAAAAATAATAAGACAGGTTTAAATGTTTCTTCAACAGATGAAGATAGTGGAGAAATTGTTCAAGAATCATCGGTCGTTGAGTTTGCTTGTCTTATGTGCAAAAAGATGTTGAAAATGAAAAATGAAATAGAAATACAAAAGAAAGGAAACTGCAAATGCTCGTGTATTCCAGCAAGTTTTAAAATAAGTAAAAATGATAAGAAAATGAATATTGATAAAACTAAAAACGGCATCAACTTAGAAACAGATGTTCATAATATAACTTGTAAATGGGGTAAGGATGCAGCATGATGAAAACGAAGAAAAGGAAACTGTTAAACAAATGATGAAAAATTCGAATCTAAAAAGTAGATTACCATAATTTGGACATTTTGTTTTAAAGTTAAATTTTAAATTATAGTATATATGGAAGGTGTAGATAAACTGATGTTGAGAATTGATGAGATAATGGAGCAAAATAAACAAATTTACCAACTGTTAGAAAGTAGGGAGAAACCAGCTTACAATACTACTAACAATTATCAGCCAAAAGAAGTTGATAGAGAGAGCGCTGAATACAAGAATAATCGAAATGTAGATATTAAAAGACTTAATGGAAAAGTCATTAAAGAGACTAAACAATCAAGTCTGGATTACTGCTATCCAGAAGTGTGTTTAATCACTAACTAACAGAATTTCGTGTCTCAAAACCATTTTTTTATTCCTGCTACTCTGTAAGTTTTATCACCAATAATATCATATTCAATTTTATCAACATTGAATATTCTATTAGACAATTTAGAGTTAGACTCCTTTCTGTCGGTGTAATTACCCCTTTTCTTTTGAAACACTTTTATCTTATCGTTTTCTCTCTATTCTGGGATACTTTCTTTTGTTCCTTTCTCGTAGCTTCAGATCGACCTTTACATGAATTTCATTGTCGTCCTTGTGTGCTTCGGTCGGTGTCATCCTTGTTGATGAGTGTAACTCGTTGTTGTATTGTTTCAATGCTGGTGTTAGGGCAACGGTCCATTTCATGCTGTTAAACCTAACTCGATTGTGAGTTGTGTTTGTCATCGTCCTAATAAAGCGTTCCGCCACGTTTGCACGGGTCTTCGTAACGATGTCGTTTATTCCATCGCTGTTGAAGAAATCCTGAACCCTTGTTCTTGGTAGCAAACGCTCGATCATCATCAGAATACACGGACATAGAATAACCCATCTTTTTCAAACTTGCTCTCAACGCCTTCAAAACGTGCTCTCCGTCTCTTTCCTCCATCGGTATTACATCTGCGAATTTACTGAAGATGTCAATCACGACTAAAGCATACTGTGGAACATCTTTGACCTTCGCTAAGGGTGTCATGTGCATTCTATCGAATTGGTACTCCCATCTAGAAAACGGAGCAGTAAAGGAATTAGTGCCTTTATATTTTTTGTTTGGTTGTTTCTTTAAGAAAGACTTAACATCCTCTAATGGTATGGACGGGTCTTCCTCATTTGCCTTTTTGTGAGTTGCTTGAATACTACCATACCCAGTATCCAGGTTGTAATAGACATTACTGATAATCTCGTCTTTTGTTAATCTTCTTGCCATTATATCATTGGTTAGAAATTATGTAGAAACAATTATAAAGAATGATGGTTTAAGATGGTAACGGAGAATCGTTATAAAAATTGTAAAATTTTAGCACGTGTGAAAGCTTGAGTCAAAGATTAATAAGACAATGATGTACTTATAGACGTTGTAAAAGACCGGAAGGCACGGAACAAAAGTTATAGAATTATTTGATGAGTATGGCGAGGAAAGCTGTAAAGTTGAACTTGTTGAAATTACCCTTGTGATAGTAAAGAAGAACTACAGAAAAGAGAAGGTTTTCATATACAACAAGATGAATGTGTCAGTCGGTGTTTGTCAGGAAGAACTAGAACGGAATATTCAGCAATGTATCGGTCAGAAAACCAAGAGAAAGTACAAGAAGGTCAGAAAGTATGGTGTGAGAACAATAGGGCAAAAGACAAATCACGAGAATGGAATGAAAACAACAAAGACAAGAAACGACAGACAGGAATTGAGTATAGGGAGAGGAACAAAGACAACTTAAAACAGAAAGCAAAAGAACACTACGAAAGGAATAAAGAGCATATCAAAGAAAGAGTTTGCCAATATGGTAAAATCAGGCTTGAATGTGAGTGTGGGTCAATTACAAGAAAGGCAGATATGTGCAAACATATTAAAACTAGAAACCATCAGGAATGGTTACAGCAAAATCAACCAGAACCCAAACCCCCAGAGTAAAATATAAACTACTTAAAGAAAAATGCCGTATGAACTAACAGAAAAATGCCCGAGGGTAAAATGACTGAGATATAAATTGAACAGAACTGAAACAAAAAGAAGGACAAAGCACTGGACTGTTGTAGGTGGTGATGATATAAAGAGACACATAATTAAGTATTACATTTCAACAAATATACCCTTTAAGCATTAAAAGCATCGAAGATATAGTTTTTAATGAACACGGAGACTTAGATTGTTTGTTAGATGGTATTGTAGGCGGTGAAGGTTATGAAGCAACGATAATAGTTAAGGTAAATATGTTTGCAAGATTTCATCATTTCAATTATTATGAAGACGATGAATTTAGCACTTTTCCTTTTAACTTTCATAGTGGTGATGTTGTAGATAAGTAACCATAGATATAATAGCTGATGCAATATACAGTTGTATGGTTGATGAAAGAAGTAGAATGAATTTTGAAGGAGTAAAAAGCATAAGGTTTAAAACTAATTGGTGATGAGCCTGTATAGTTCAAAACTAAACCACAAGTATAACATTTATATTCTTATATGTTATAATTATAGCGAACTTTTAACTTATAAACATTTCATTAAATAACAAACCAGAAGACCTGCCCAAAGCTCAACCCATGAAACAGCAGAAAGTCCTAACCTCTTTCATTCAACACAAACTAAAGTTTGAAAACCGGAACGAAACAGGGGACCAAATCACAAATTCGTTATCACATTCATATCGTTATTTCATGGCCCCAGAATCAGCCTTTTAAAAACGGATAAGATAGAACACGTGTTGAAAAGCGAAATTAAAAAAACAACAAAAACAGAACAGGCAACCATCAACCCCCAGCCCCCTAGAATCAGCCTTTTCTACTTTTTTTAGGGGTGGACCCCTGCCAATAGGTAGGTGTCTTGAAACTGCGAGACGCAAAGTGAGCCTTTGTAACTATCTAGACTATAGACTATAACCGCAAGCGCTACCTTGTTTCAGATGCGCAGGTGGCCGCGGAGCTGACATCGATTCCGAAGGCTCGCGTCTCTCTCCTCGGCCCGGGGGACCACGGGCTGCGGCCCTCCGCCTGCGCCGCTGCCGCCGGGCACTGGCGCCTGGCCCGGCGCCTCAGAAGCCACGAAGACGAAGCAGACGAAGCAGAAGCAGACGCCCAGCTCAAGTACGAGAACTCCGAGAACTCCGAGAACTCCGAGCACTCGGGACCGTTGCTGCTCCCCTCCCCGGCCTCGCCGGCCTCGCCGGACTGGGCAGAGCTCTTGGATGCAACTAGCGCAATCCCTCCCGCCACCTCCCGCCACCTCCCGCCTTGCCAGTCTTGTGTGCTTCTTGGGCATTTGAGGCTGTCTCTTCCTGAAGTTCACTTAGACCTGCCAGCAGTGCTGCCTATCCCGTGCGTTGAGCGGAACATCAGCTTTGCGGAATTCATGCAATACTTCCGAACAAAGAGGCCATTTCTGATTCGCAAGGGTCTTGCTGTTTCGGCGAGCGCACGTGCTTTGTTGGACGCCTTGGACAGATCTGATCTGGATGGTGCAGTGGGCAGCATTCCCTATGCCCACGATTTCATGCCTCGGGTGGCACGGCAAGCCGATGGTCTCCAAGAGGTGCTCCAAGGGCACGCCTATTTGTTTCTTGAGATCGAGAGGGAAACCCGACTGGAAGAGCTTGTGCAGACCTATGGGCTGTTTGGCATGAGGAGCTGGTTCAACTTCGACCAAGAACTTCATTCCGTGCTTCAAGTGTCCTTGGGACAGAGTGGCACGGGTGCACCGTGGCATTGGCACCAAGATGCCTTCAACGTCTGCTTGGCGGGTGAGCGGGCCTGGTTTCTGAAGCCACCTGCGGAGGCTCTCATGTCACGAAGGCCTGTTTCGCAAGGCCTTCCCCACCTTGCAGGGTCTTATTTTGCAAAGCAAAGACACGGAGACGTGCTTTATGTCCCAGAGCTTTGGTCACACGCAGTGGTCAATCTGATGCTTTCCTCATCTCTGGCGTTCGAGTTCGGGACTGGAAGCCAGCCAGAAAAGTGAGGTGAGGTGCGGTGAGGTGAGGTGAGGTAAGGTCAGAAAAGGCGGTGAGGTGCTCAGGCAATGTTCAGCTTGTGCCCGTGAGGTACCGTAGCGTGCTGTTGCTGGGCACGGCTGTGGCACGAGCTTTCGGCCTGAAGGGCAAGATGCTGGAGGCCGCGAGGGCCACGCATAGCGCGCAGGAGCCAAACTCGCGCCGCCCAACATACACACGCAAGCGAGCAAGCAAACAACCAAGCACGCAAGCAAGCGAGCAAGCTTCCATCCTTCCACCCACCCACCCACCCACCCACCCACCCATCCATCCATCCATCCATCCATCCATCCACCCATCCACTTGCTTACTTACTTACTTACGTACATACACACATAAATGATTACTTGCCTACTTGCTTACCTGCTTGCTTGCTTACTTGCTTACTTACATACCTACATTGTTACTTGCTTACTTGCTTACTTACATCATGTGCACTCGCTGCCTTTGGGCAACAGGCCTTGATGACTTTGGATACAACAGCCCACAGACAAAAGGGTGCAACGAGAACGGAGATGCGGCCAAAAGGAACAAAGCTCCAGATACACAACACACAACAAGGACAGATCGGTATAATAGCCCCAACTGCAACACTGACGCCGCACAGCGCTGCGGACGCGGGGTACGCAGGCGACTACTGGCAGTTCAACAGCAAAGGCAAACTGGTGAGAACACACAGGCAGTCCAGGAAGACACTCTTCACGCCATCATGCACACAGTGTCCAGCCCCAATGGAAAAGTGGAGGACTACAGCAGGCCGACCTGCAAAGACCACGAGTACAGTGTCAGCTAATGGACAACCCACGCAGAGCACAGCAATGGATGTGGAAATGAGAAGTAGGCTTCAGGATCAAGAAAGGCAGAGCGCCTCCACACTGCAACAACAACCGGAGATGTCCGGAAGAGCGTGCCAGAAAGGGTTTCAAGTGATTCCTCGCCCACGCAGAAGACGGGGAGGAAAGCAGCCGTCGCAATCAGCACATGAGTCGGCAGCGTCATGTGCCATCACGCAGGCGCGGCTGGACAAGCGCCACGATTATGGAGGTGGCGCAGAGAAAGGCCAAATTGGAGAAGAGCAAGCTTGACACGACGGACCTCCATTGCAGAATCTCACGCAATGGAGACAACAAGGCCCAACCAGTTGGGGAGGAACTCGTTAAACTTGTAGAAGATGAATGGACAACAACCACCAAAGACTGCAGACAAGCCTTGGACAGGAGATACTGGAACACAGCGTGACACACCTTCCAAACTTCCACTGTGGTGCCATGAAAGGCTTTGCAGGCAGCCAGGCGCGCCCAGTTCTCACAGCCATTCTGGGACGGCGATGGCATGCGACGGCCACGCAACTGCAATTCCTCATTGAGTCTCTGAGTGTCACACAATGCTGCAATCGGACGGCAGGGTTCCTACCAGCGTTGACCAAAGCAGTGGCCACGCCAACGAAGAATGTCAACATCGCAGCAAACAACTCGTTGGAGCGGACAGCTTGCAATCGGAAGGCGGAGTTGAGCCAGTACGCAGCAGACTGTTTGGGCAAGCCAGGACACTCGAAGCACAAGTCAGACAAAGCTATAACAGAGAAATATCACTATGGAGCACCCACTTCTGGCGCACATCCTGAACAGACACGCTCTCCGCAGTACTGGGGCAACAATCTGTTTGAAAAGACGGTTTGACGTGCCGCTTGATGCAAGTGCTGGAATGACTACACATGGCTCAGCTGTCCGTTGGATGCAAATTTGCGTCGTCGTGCGTGGGGGACCTCAATGAAGCATCCACACAAACCCCCAAGAGCTGAATGAGATATGAGGACGCTGCCACTTCGGTCCCTCTGAGCGGTATTGCGATTTCCACAGCATCCGGTAGTGTGTTGTTGTCCTGCTCTTGGCGAGTTGGAGCTCCCATGTTGTGTTCCGAATCCGTTGCCCTGCGCTTTTTGTTTGCAAATTGATGCTAGCCGATCACAAGTGCTCACCAAGGTTTGCTTAGTGATGGTGCCGCGTGCTCCAGTTGGTCGATTGTGACTGGATGGGTGGATTGTGTTGTCTGTCTTAACGGTCTGCTATGTGCTGAATATTTTAGCCCAAGGCATGCTGTCATGATATTTCCGATCGTCAATTGTGGAGCACTCTTCTATTCCCTGCAACTGTTGTTGCTGTTGATGCAGCTGTGTTGTATGGAAAGGCAGCCAAACTTGTCCTATAGGTGTGTGATCTCCCCAACTGCTTTGCTACCATGTTGAATTCAAACCTGATCCCTGCAAGTGAATGGCCAGGGACTATCGCACCCTTTTGTTTGTTGGCTGCTGCATCCACTGTACCAAGATCAAGGCCTGTGGCCCAAAGGCAGCGGGCGCATGTGTTTTAACAACAAACACTCTTAAGTCAGGAAGCAATTCAGCTCGTACCAAGAAACGCCGGGTCATGTCACGCGAACAAGAACCAGCGCCCGAACAAACACTTGGAGCCTGGGGAATAAGTTTGGGCCTGTCGGGAATTCTTATGTGGCTAGCAGACGGTGACACCTGCGCCCTCTGGCAGGTTGTAACCCAGGGTCGCACGCGCTTGTGCTCCCGGCCTATTGACTGCATTTGATTGACCCAGTTGGAAAGCTGACAGGTTGACCTTCCCACATCCATCAGGAGTGAGCCACTATTGGCCCGCATCTCAGCCTCATGAATCGGTGTCTCTCAGTTGCTCTCTCGGTGCCGGGTTTCTCAGGAATGACCGGTGCAACACTAAGCTTGCTCTGAAGGCTGGCTTTCGCCGTTGGCCATTGTGCACATCGGTTCTTGAGAGGCGCTGAAAGCAGAGCTGACGCTCATGCGACGACCTGAGAGATGCAACAGGTAGTCCACGTTCACCCAGGGTCAAGTTGCGAGAACACTGACATGTTTCTCCATCTTGTACATAGCACGAGAGGCTCTTCAAGTTTCGGGTTGCGATTCTGACTAGAATCATCAAGCACGAGCTCGGGGGCGATGAAAAAAAACAACGTGGCGCATGCAGAGCAGAAGAGTGGCGCTTCTAGAATACAATTATTGCTTGCGTGACACCGTGGCGGGCCATGGGCCGACAAGTAGCATTAAGGTACTCGGTATTTGTTCGAAGATTCCTCGCAGCACAAGTCATGCATCAAACGAGCCACCAGACATCTATACAGGGCTTGGACCGCCAACATGATTTGAAACCAATTGGATGCATGTGCCTGCGCAATGGAGCGGACGCGGCATCGGCCGTCTCGTTCTGTGACCCATGCCCAGAGGGTTGAGGTCGCGGCCGCGCCTCGGCGCTCGGCGCTGCGCGGGGCGCGTCGCGAGGACGACATCGACGTCGAGCGTGAGGCACGCGACAGCCGAGCGTCGCGCCAAGCGCCCCCGCGCTCGCGCACGCTTGCAAGCTTAGCGCCCAAAGCAAAGGCGAAGGCGGCTCTCAGAACCAACGTGAAGGGGAAGGTGCAGCCGAAAGTGGTGCCACAAGCAGCACCACAGCCAGAGATGAAACCCAAGCAAGAGGATTGGGGTCCTTGGCTTTCATCCAATCGCAAGAGCTGCGTGCGCGCCATGTCCAAGAAGCTTCTCCCAGGTCGCAAGCGGGAGGCTGACATTGCGACTCCCAAGGCCAAGGCCAAGGCCAAAGCAAAGGCCAAGGCCAAAGCAAAGGCCAAGGCGAAGGCAGTGGCCCCGGCACCGGTGGAACCCGTACCGACACCGGACACGGACGAGACACCGGTCAAGAAGGCTCGGTGGTGGGCGCTTCCCGACGTCACCCTGGAGTCCGAGAAGCATGAGGTTAGGATCGAGGCGGGGCACGCAGAGAACGCAGAGAACGCAGAGAATCCGGAGAAGGAGATGGCGGAGAAGGAGAAGGCCGAGAAGGCCGAGAAGGCGCAGAAGGCGGAGAAGGTGGACAAGGTGGAGAAGGAGAAGGTTGCGAACGCTTTCGGGGCTTCGGGTTCGGGATGCCCGATGCGCAGGAGCTCTCGACGGGGGAATCAGAGCACGTGCGGTCTGAGGCACGGGTAAGACACTCACAGTACCAGAACGGAATTTGAGTGCTTTCCCGCCAGGCTGACGGGCCAGGGCCCCGGGGTGGGTTTAAAGGTGGTAAGGTGACTGCGCTAGATTGTGAGTTTGGTTCAGGTCAAAGAAGGCTGGGAAATGACCCTTCAGCCTGTGCTTGCTTGGCTCGCGGTGTTGGCAGGTTCTTCTCTGCGGGGATTTGGATGGCGACCTTAACCTGCTCCAGAGGCTCTTGCAAGACTTGAAGGACCTTTGCCACGAGACTTCGAGACCTCTGAGCAGTCCTTTGCTTCCAGTTTCGGCCCCGATTTTCGGCTCAAGACGTCAAGAATGCGTCGCACACCTGCATTGTATGCCGCCTGGCAAAATCAAAAAATGGTTCACTTCACAGCTTTTGAGCTCCAGGTTGGGCTGGTCATTGGCCACTATGCCTTTCTTCATTCACGACTGTCACGACTGACTGATTGCGCTGGCCTCTCGCGGCGATTTGCCATCGCCAGCTTGCCGGGCATCCTGGGAGCTTTTGGTTCAGAAGCCTCCGCTGAGAGCTGTGAGCACTGCTGCGTAACAGAGACTCGGCGCTTGAGCTCTTGGACCGTTCCACACTGTGCCCTTTGCTTTTGTTGCCCTCTGCTAAGGACTGGTGTTCATGCGACCACCGCATTTGCGATTGCAAGTCCATCCTGAAGGCTCACGGATTCTCGACTCCTCGGGATGCTCCCTGCTCAGAAGATGCATGCCATGCAAAAAAATGTCCAGCATAAACACCACAACTTACAACAGGGCTCCTTAAAAGAAACATGTTGCCCGATTGAAACTGGCATTTTTCACCAAAATAAAGAAACAACACCACTTACAAGGCATTGTTCATGTGTATAATGTAAGGATCCCTGTTACAAACCGCTGCAGTTAATTTTGGCCTCTCATGGAATACAGCAGATGTGACAGGCTTCAGGAAGGCGACTTTGCACATTCAGCAGCATTACAGACATTGCAGAAAGTCGACGATTGCAAGTGGAACAACCGGGTAGCCTACAATCCTGAAGCGGGATGGGAAGAACAACTGTTTGTGCGTGGACGCAACTTCGGTACAGTCTAGTCATTGTAAACCTGGAAACTAGCCCAAGGCAACTGTTGGAAACGTCCTTGCAGCAAAGCTGCAAGCATGTCCAGATTTTGGCGTGGCCAAACCCCTCGGAAAGATCGGACCTAGCACGTTGAAACAGCACAACGGTTGGCATCAGCCACCGAGAAAACATGGACAAACGTTATTTGAAGCAACAGGATCACTTTCCGAATTGTAGGGCGCTGACTACCTGGGCTGTCACCGTCATTTTTGAGTAGTGTAGAGTAGCATTTTTTAGATGCAGGAGCCAAAAGGAGGGGAACTGGCATGGTGTAGCCTGGCCCTCTAGCCCTCGGGCCAAGCAACCTCGCGTAGACTCCGCGTAGTCACTGGCAAACGATGCAATTTTAAGCAGCACGGCTCATTTGGGTGATTTTGGCTCTTGAAGTATAAGTTTGGCATTGGGCACGTGTTGATGTGGCATTCTGCAAGTGTCAGACCGGCATTGGACAATTGTCCATGAACTACCCCCGCCACGTGAGCACGACCCACAAAAAGCTTGCGATGAAACATTGATTTGGGCGGAGCTTGGGGAGTTCGCGAATGTTGGAAAAGATCTCGGGTTTGAATGTTAGGTTGCCATATGTTGCATATTTGTTTGGACGTTTCCATCGATCTAAGGTGTCCGAGGCCCCGGCGCCTTGGTACCGCAACCTGGGCTGGGAGTCTGCGCGGCTGCCCCGGTTCTTCCCGGTGTCGGCACAGGCGTTCAAAGTAAAAAATAAAAAAGTAAAAAAAAGAAGTCGGAGATTCGGAGATTCGGCTTAGACTCCGCTCCTTTGGATTCGAAAGGACCTCGAGGTGCGGAACTCCACGCTGGCGCCGGACGGGGGGGCCGGGCGGGGCCTCTTCGCTCGCCGAGACCTGCCGAAGGGCGCGGTGCTGCCGCCCTACGCCGGCCAGCTGCTCACCTACCGAGAGGTCGGAGTCGGAAAAGCGGAGTGTGACATGCAAGGAGCAAGACGCAGAGGGTGTAGGGAAACTCGGAAAATCCAGACCCTGGGAAGGTGGGAAGGAGGGAGTTCAATGAAGGCATGGAGTATGTGTGGTGCCCGCTGAAGAACGGGCTGCAGATCCTGCCACTGTCTCCAGAGGAACTGACTCAAGGTCCGCAGGCGGAGAAGATGAGCTTTTGCGTGGACAGCAAGGATCAGCTCACAGAGAACCCTGCGCGCTTCGTGAACGGGGCTGCCTCTTCCGAGCAGTGCCCCCTGATCAACATCAAGATGTGCGAGCTCGGCCGGGTCATGCGCTGGTCTCAGATTTGAGCAATCTCGACCACATTGCCTTCAGCCTATTGGGGATCCAAGGTACTTCCGCACCAACGCAGCAGTTCCCGCGGGGACCGAGTTAGTGACGAACTATGGCGCAAACTACTGGAACTTCCAGGGATGCGGGCCGGTGCCGGCCTGGTAAAAGAGGTATGCGCTCTCCAATGAAGCGCGGCCGAGTGGATATGAGTCACATTCATTTTGTTTTGCTTTTCGCGGCAAGGACAACGGCACTGACATTGATCTCGTCTTTTGCGTTGGCCGCTTCGTGTCAGTGTGCACAGTGTCAGTGTGGCGTGAAAGGCGGGCCTTTGCAAATTTTGGCTAGGCCTTCAAGCATCGAGGTGCCGCGCGAGGATTTCCTGCGCGGGGACCCCACAGAGTCTGAGAGTCAGAGAGATGCGACATGATGAGACATGATGTGACATGATGAGAAATGGCTGTGGATCAAGACCAGGGTAGGTGCACCACCCATTTTAGTCCATTCCATTTTAGTGGGGATTGGGATGTTTACTGGGGGTACAGGCTTTTGACCCATGGCCACATGATGACACATTGCATTAATGAGACACGATCAGACAGGATGAGACCCGAGTTTGCAAGGTTCTTGCCAAGAATTGCAGCTGCCAGCCCCAGTCTTCTTCGTCGATGTGTCGTGTGAGGACAGTTGCACTCTCAGCGCTCTCTTTCTAGCAACCTGAAGCTCAGGATCTCATCGCCACATCTCAGACGAGGGATGATTGCATCCCTCTGGGTGCGCGTCTGGGGTTTCGGGCTTCTTTGGGGTGCGGGTTTGAAGGTGCGTTTGTTCCAGGCCCTCACATCTTCTTCCTCGGGGCCTACGGGATCCGGGACATCGAGGTTTCAGTGCTGAGTTTTCTTCTCGGGAAGATCCCAGCTTTCCAGGGATTGAAGGTTGCCTTCCTCTCTGGCAAGCACCGCCCGGAGAGCTACAGGAACCGTGGGTTTTGCGTAGCTCTTGATATGAAACATTTTGAGACTGCCAGGGAATCCGGCCCTTTCTTGGAGCCTGACGGTCGTGGCGCTTTGGCTGAAGCGCACAGAGCGTGGAAGTTTTGAGCAGAGCGACTGAAGTTGACAGAAGCTGATTGTGTGCTTTTTTTCTTGTTGACTTGCTGGCTGTTTTTCTTGATGCTTCAACTTCCTGATTCTCGTTTTTGATCTTCGGCCACCCTGTTCTCATCTGTGTATGTTTATGTCCTTTCTCCTTGGAGCTCCCTCCCTCCTCTCTCTCCTTCCTTCTTGTCCCTCAGGGATAGGAAGGAGCCCGTTTCTTGGCCTTTTATCTCTTCTCTTCCTTCTCTCTCCCTATCTTTCTTTCTCTCTTTCTCTTCCGTTTCGGTATTTTCTTTTCTTTGTCCCGAGAGAGAAAGACGTTTTCCCGAGTGACTCGGAGTTACTCGACTCGGCGACTCGAGGCCGGGGCGCGACGTACACGGCCGCGGCCCCGGCGGCGCTCTCGGCGCTCGCGCTCGCGCGCGACGTGGATGCCGCGGCCTCGACTCGACTGGAGACTTCGGAGAGGGAAAAACTCGAGGAAAGAGAGAAAAAAAGAGAAAACTCGGAGAGAAAAGAGAGAAAAGAGAGGAAAGAAAAAGAGGAATAAGAGGAAAAAGAGGAAAGAAAAAGAGAAGGAGAGGGGAAAAAAAGGAGAAGGAAAGGAAGAGAAGGAGAAAGAAGTAGTTGAAGAGAGGGAGAAAGGGGCAGAGAAGTCAAAAGAGTTGAGACAGAGTTGAGAAAACGGGAAAGAGGAAGAAGGGTTGAGAAGTGCTGAATGGAAGAACGAAAGCCAAGACATCGAAGGGAGGACTGATTGATTAGCTGGGAGAGACTCTGGAATGAGCCAGCCAATCATTGACGACCATTTTCCGTTTATTGGTGAGGGAACTGGGAGATGCAGGAAGTGAGTGCCTGTCTGTGCAACCCTTCGCACCTGCCACCAGCGGACATCTTCCAACCGTTTCCCGTTGCCGGCTTACACCGAAGGAAATGGATGGGGGATGAATCCGCTTCCGGCTCTTGCCAATCACTTCCCACGCCGAGACGAAGCGAGGAATCGAGAGAGAGAGCGCCTTCTCTTTCATCCTTTCACCCAGGAATCATGGAGAATAGGCCAGGGGGACAATGCGCTTGTGGCTTATTGGTCCTTGTAGCTCTGGCAGACTAGCTGCTGGCTGCTTCAGCATCTGCCTTTCCGGATGTAGCTCTGCGCCATGTAAAACTGATGGCCGCCTGTAGCTTTGCATTTTGACCACCTCTTGGAAGATGTGCAGATGTGCGTGTGTGTGCGTGCGTGTGCGTGTGTGCGCGCGTGCGCGTGCGCGTGCGCGTGCGCGTGCGCGTGCGCGTGCGCGTGCGCGGGCGTGGGCGTGGGCGTGTGTGTGCGCGTGTGAGTGTGCGTGGGCGTGGGCGTGTGTGTGTGTGTGTGCGGAGTGACAGAATACCCTGTCACCAACATCAAGCTTTCACCTTTACCACAGGGGGCACGGCGCCTGATTTCCAAGCCGTGCCAACGAAGCTACGGAAATCGGGCGGAGGAGATGCTGGACGCAGCATCTTGTACCTGCTTCAGTGATTCTGAAAGTGCTGTTGGCCCCCTTGGTTGCGGCGCTGTTTGTGCTTCTTGTTCTTTCGGGTAACGTGTTCGCTGCTAGAGGGAAGCCGAGTGCATCGCGAGCAGAACCCAGTCGAGACTCATCAGTTGTACTCGAGACTCATCAGTTGTACTCGAAAGATTAGCACCCTCCATCTGGAGTTTAAGTGTGTGTGTGTGTGTTTGTTTGTGTGTGTTTGTGTGTGTGTGCGAGTGAGTGAGTGGGCGAGTGACGTGCATGAGTGGGCGGGTGGGTGGGTGGGCGAGTGACGTGCATGAGTGGGTGTGTAGGTGGGTGGGTGGGTGAGTCCGTGAGCTAGCAAGGAAGGACACAAGGAGGAAAGTGAGCGCGCGAGCAATGAAATCAGCGCTCAGGCAGCTGTGGATTCCATGAAAGGCCTCTGCTTCTCATGTTTGTTTCCTCACTGTTCCTGTGGATGTGCTGCAAGCGGTCGTTGGAGATTTGGAAGTTCGGTTTTGCTCGGGGGTCGTCGTCGTCTCCATGAATGCTAAGCTGTCGTTCTGGGGTTTGCGTGGAACGCATGCGGCACCCCGAGAACCTCAGGACATGGCTTTCCAAGAAGTTTGTGTCGGGGGCCTGGGTTGCCCTTTGGTCTTCTTCACTTTGCGCTAGTATGAAGATTTCTGGTGGGGTTCGAGTGATGTGGTGCGGGCGGGGTCTTTGAGTTAGGACAGGCCTGGCGCAGTTAGATAAAAAGCGTGAAATCTGAAGTCCGAAAATATTCTAGCAAAAAATATCGCGAAGGTAAGGCGCCCCTTAGAAATCCTACCTGCATCAAATCTTATGATAAATATTTTTGAGCATACTTATCGTAAAATTTCAGTTGAGTTATTCATTTTTCTTTTGATGTTCTAGAGTTGCACAATGCCTAGCCCATTGAGAAGATAACATTCCACCGAATTTACATTTATTGCATTCAAAATACTCCTTACCATCTTGAAAAAATATTCTGTCTGGTTTTTCTTCATTTTCAAATTCTTCTGGGTTTTCCTTTCTTCTTAATCTGTCCGTATGATAGTTTGATTGTTCGTGTTGAGCTTTTTTACATAGTCTCACTGTATATTCGCAGACTTCGCAATAATGAGTTCTTAATGCAAATGGTATGGTTGGTTCTTTCGTCTTTCTTGTCTTTTCAACCCCTTCCTTTTTACATCTACGATATTCCCTATTGTCTTCAATACATAGATTACATAATTTATTTGGTTCAGTGAATTCTTCAACAGCTTTTGATTTATTACATCTTGAACAATGTTTGAATACAATTTCCTCCATACTGTATAATGCTCTTATTTCTTTAAATACATTTTACAACAAATAATTAAAATTTGGATATTCCGGAGTTGCGCATGGCCCGCCTTGTAGGATTTTATCTTCAATATATAAAACGCTATACTTACATTATAATTATAACATATAAGGGTATAAATGTTATAATCATAGTATGGTTGTATTATTCAGGTTCATCAATAATTAGTTTAAACCTTATGTTTTTTTACTCCTACAATATTCATTATATTCCTTCTATTATCAATATTTCTACATATTGTTGCAACTGCGAATTTCATTACATCAGTTATATTATCTTGGTCTATAGAACCCATTAAGTGACTACCACTATGAAAATCAAAACCATAACTGCTATATTTATCATCCTCAAAATAATGAAAATGATGAAACCTTACACATAAATCTACATCAACTATTATTATTGCTTTATAACTTTCATATCCTACATACTTATCTATTAAGCTATCTATTTCATCCCCTTCTTTCATAACTATATCTTCAATACTTTCAATGCTTAATGGAACCTTCCTAGAAACATAATATTGAAATATTTGTCTCTTTGCCTTATCACCATCTAAATTATTACAGTGCCTTGTTTTTCTTTCTATGTCAGTTCTGTCAATTTTATATCTTCCTTGTATTCTCTTCAATGTTTCATTATGATTATGCTTTATTTTCATATATTCTGGCTTGCCATATTTATAGGACATAATATTAATAATAACTTCAACTGGTAGTTTTTGAAACTCCATTTCTATTATAATATATATAGTTTTTATTTCTTTAAATACATTTTACAAGAAATATTAAAATATTATTTAAATTATTATCATTTACAGCTACAATTGCACCTAACACAGTAAGGAATAATATTATTCAGTTCGTGCGACAACTCGTTTGATTTACGTTGCGCTGTCAGATTTGTCATTATATTACCGTTTTTAATATCCATAGAAAAACCGCATCCGCAGTAATTACATTGATTAGTGATATTATCTAAAAACCATTGCGCATTTACATAACCTTCTTTAGGTATTGTTCTTTTGGCTTTCCTGTCTTGTTCTTTGTAATTCAATATTTTCCTTTCAAAATAACTCATAATACATTTTTGATTAAATACATCATCAATATCTTTCGTATATTTATAAAATTTGACTTTGTTTAAATCTCTACACCTTGTAATTGCTGTCCATATCCATTCTGGATAATTCTTTACCAAAAAATGGTTATACTCAAAATTGTTATGGTATCATCAATGCTACTGCCTTGGGCAGAATGACAAGTCGGGCAATATGCGAATATAAAATTACTTCTTATTTTATCAACTGGCAAAGACTGTAGAATTTCAGTTTTAACATTTTTCAACGTAAATATTCCATCGCTTCCAATATGAACAACTTTATATTTGAAATTTACATTAAAAACTGATGTTTTAGTTGTTGTATATTCTCTACAAATTAAAAATTCTCCTACTTCATATTCATCCTTTCTCTTTTCTAATTTTCTAATTTCGTTTGATACATTTTTACAAGTTGTATTTAAAAATGCTATATTATTTTTTGACCCGCTAATATCTGTTGTATATGTAAAATATTTTTCAAAAATTGTTTTAATAGGTAATTTGTAAATAAAAATATCATTGTAAATGTTTTTGAGTTTGATTTTGTCATCTGCATTGCCAAGTCTTTTACATTCTTTCAACAAAATGTTATATTCAAAAATATGATTAACTATATTATCAGTGTATGTTTCATAATCCTGAGTGTTGGTTATTTCTTGAACTGGTTTTAATTGCTTGGCGTCTCCTGTTGCTATTATGATTTTGTTGTGCTTATTCTGCTCTACAAATTGTTTTATTCTCCAGTATGTATTTAAATTACTAAAATAAATTTCATCAAGTACTATAACGTCGGAATCTGTAAAATCAAATGGTTCTAATTTAGCATCTCCATAATTTATACCAAAGAATTTATTTATCGTCATTGCTTCTCCTTCAAATGCCTGCAGTAATTTGTTAGTAGGTGTTACAAAAACTACTTTATAACCCTTATCTACCATTTTTTGACATATATAACTTTTGCCAGTGCCGGGCACTTCTCCCCTAATCATCATAATATTGCGCTCTTTAATAATTTCAATAATATTATCTGTGTCATATTCATCTACAATA